AAATGTGTAATCATCCAATCACTTTCCAGCAACGCAATGTGGCATCCTCTAAACAATCTGCTGAAGTTCAAAGTGAGCATCTGAATGGGAAAGAAAGGTCATTTAAGTGACTTTGAATATGGAGTGGCTGTTGTTCTCTAGGTGGTTTGATCTGAGTATTTCAAAATAACTGCTGATCTGCTGGGATTTTGCCACACAACCATCTCCTGGGTTTATAGAGAATGGTCTGAAAAAGAGAAAATATCCTCTGAGCAACTGGTTTCTGGGTGAAAATGCGTTATTGGTGCCAGAGATCAGAGGAGAATGGCCAGATAGGAAGGCAACAGTAACTTAAACAACCCTCGTTAAAACCAGTCCATGCAGAAGCATCTCTAAAACCACAATACATCAAGCCTTGAAACACATGGGCTACAGCAGCAGAAGATCACATCTGATGCCACTCTTGTCAGCTAAGAAAAAGGAAACTGAGACTATGATTTGCACAGTTGCAGTAAAACTGAACAATAGAAGGTTGCAAAAATGTTGTCTGGTCTGATGAGTCTCAATTATCTCAAACTGGTTTCTTGAACAAACGCCAGATCTCAATCCAGTAGAGCGTCTTTGAGATTTGATGAAACAGGAGATTCACATCATGGATATGGAGCCAAAACTCAGCACCAGCTATGTTATGCCACGTGTTAATATGGACCAAAATCTCTGAGGAATAGTTGCATTAATGAGACAAAACAGTATTTCTTCACATGTCAAACATATATTTTTACTACTATAGTGATTCCTGTTCTAAGACTTAACTGTAACAACTTATTATTTGCAGGTGATAAACTATTTGACCATATTTTTGTTATGACAGAGATGTGCCATATATTTCATTATGATGTATATTTTTGTTCCTGTTTTTTCATTGTTGATTGTCGATTGGCTGATTAGACTCCTCAGCGGGTTGTTTACTACTAGCAGGGTCCTGGTGTTGATTTGTTGGGGGTCACACCCACAAATGTCTCAGACATGCATCTGTTTCTGCTGCTATGCAACAATAAATTTCCTATACACAATTTAATTATGTTCTGCTGCTGATTTGGTGATAAATGTGCTATTATAGAGAACTGCTGAACAGAGTAGGTTTAGGGACTCTAGAAATGCGTATTTTGTTAACCTGAATATTAATTTTTTTTTTTCTCATATTTGCATTTTAACGATTTAATATCAAGATAAACTTTACCATACACATTGTGCACTCTGTGTTTTGAGTACCGGCGCTTGATTTGCAGTGCTAAATTAAGTTGTCAGTTGAATTTGGAAAATAACCTTCTTGTGCAAACTCTCCCCACACACACACACGTATACATCATTCTGAACGAAACAGGCAAAAGATCAAACCATCAAACAATAAGCAATAACTGACAGCGGAAATATGAAACAACTGTTGTTTCGATCTGCAATTCATAAGAAATTGAGATAACTGTCTTAGCAACGTCGTAAATTGTTTAATCATTGCACTTTAAGACTTTTTTCTTTTTCTTTTTTTTAAAAGAGGAACTATCCTCTTTTTTTTTTTCCAAACAACAAAACCACAAACTTCAAAAAAAGAAATAATTACTCAATCTTAGCTGCTGGTCCTCCCACCTCCACCCTCCCAGTTCCCCCCAGAGGGAAGCAAGTGCGTCAGTGGAGGGTTGGAAAAGAAGAGAAGTAAAGCCTTTTGACTTTCAGGAAGGAAACACATCTGGGGAATAAGGAAAGAGAGAACGGGTGAAAAGAGGAATTAGCATGGAGGAAGAGCAGCTGGCCAAAAATAGTCAGCCTCTGTTTGAGCCTTGCTTTGCCAGAGCCCCTACCACACCTCCTGCCACTTAAGCATTAGTCAGCCCTGAACGAGCCTTCGGTGGGTGACTAACTTCTCCACTGAACCCCCCTCAAGTCATGGACTGCACTTCCTCCCAGGTGTCTTAATCCAGCCCAGGGTTGCTCAACTTAAGACCCCCAGTCCTGTCTTTTTTGTCCTCTCTTCTTCTTTCTTTGAAGTAAAAACACAAGTGCTCTTATAGGACTCCACTGAAGGGTGTGTGGGACTGGAGATACAGATCACTGTGGGCGGCCAGGGAATAAGGTAAACAGTGATGGAAACCAGTGACATGATGCTTTACAAAATACATAAACAAAACCAAACCATGAAAAACTGAGATAACAGGAGTTAATATGATTGAGATTTAAGTTATTTTAAGAGGAGCCAGGGGAAGGGAATGAGTAAACATGTGCATTCCTATGGGCAGAAACCCATCTATAAAAACAGGAACTCTGGTCAAGCAAATATGGTAAAGCCAGATGTAAGGCGGTGTTGTGACCAGACTGGTTTTGGATGGGAAGGGCCGGATGTTTGACAGACATTTCATCTCGTCGCAGGTGTTCAAGGATCACGGTGGACTTATTACACAGTAACTCACTAGGTTTGCCAAAGCAAACAGGAAGCAGTGGCAGAGTTTCACTGTGATTGGTCACTTAAGTTTGATTTGTGACGATGACTAAGAATGCAGGAAGGAGACGGAAAGGGACTGGGTGAATTTCAGTGTACCAAGGAGAGGGTGTACGTGAGTGACAGCATGGTAATGATACCAGAAGGTGACTTCACCTGCTTATGAACGACTAGAAACAATCATGACATTCCCACTCTTTAGCAAAACAAAAACAGAGGAATATCTGTACACATTCCCAAAGTCTGGATCAAAAGTCAACAGGCTATATATAAAGAATTGAGCTACCATTATCCTGCTATTTTAAAATATGTGTGTTCATTACTTAGAAAGCATGTCTTATTGGATACATTTTGTATTAGAGCTGTCATGCAGAGTGGATTGTAGGCTGTGGCGTTGCCAGTTGGGCAGCAAGCTGTTCTCTATGGCTATTTGTCAACTAGAGCCATCCAGTGGTGCTTTGAGGTAATCTGAACAGTGCAAAAAAAAAATAAAAAATCAGCGGGGCTTTCAGCAGAGACGCTCGACAGCCACTGCTGGAATTTTTTTT